CCGTGTTATGTAGGAAGGAAACAACTTAACTGGTGATATACAGATCGGTACCAAGCATCTGGTGGTATAACGGGACCCTATCCTATATTGTGATTAGTCATTTATAGAGATAATGTCATCTGAAGTTAAATAAGTACCTCACTACATTTATAGACAACAGTGTGTCGTAGACGAGTCCAATAGAAAGGGAGATTTGTGGCCAATGGTAGTTCAGAGTCCTTCGACAAATGCCTTAAAACGCAATTAACTTTTATTTTGCCAATAATAAACCACACAACCTCAATTCCATTATTATGCCTGCTTCGTGATGCCAGTGTCGATGTCCAACATTCTGGAAAAGGAACTGACGTGGACGACTCATATCTCATTTACCGCAAGCAGGAAATAGACTTAATGCGTTTTAGCCAATATTTCTGTTACCCTATATTCTCGAATTTTGAGTGAGCAACTTAGCAAAGCCGTATAAGCAACCGCTGAAAGGGAATATTGCGTGATATGAGATGTATTCACAAAAAATAAAATATTGCGTGAGTTTCCTGCTAAACGTGATGACAAAAAAATATAAAAAAAATCAATAAATGTAGAAGCCTAATTTATACTAGAATAATATTCTACTAAAAACAGAAAATAAGTAATATGCATCATTATACGTTAATTTATGTACCGTATAACTTCTGCTACCGCCAGTATAGTGCGTATCAGATCTAGGTGCTGAGAATTGAGTCGCTGCAAAGTCAGAATAGGGATCCAAGCCATCCTAATAAGAAAATCTTCAATTATGGCCAGGTAGTAGTATGCTCTGAATCTGTAGACCAATTCATCGCGCAGGAGTTTCGACTCTTTGGCCTCGCAATCCATAAGGCCCCAATCCATGAATATGTCCCACAGATATGTGTAAAGCGATTGCACAAGTGAAGCGATCACAAATAAGGCAAATACGTGAGGCGCTGGAATAAAATAGGGGACACATGATAGACATTCTTTCACAGCTATAGAATTTGATGAAAAACTTAGAGTAAGTCAAAGAGCCTGCAAAATCGAAGGATTGGGATAAAACGATCGACTAATAACAATAGCATGTAGATAGGTAGAGAAATTGGGTTTCGATGAATCTTCTGGGATAATATTGTTGAGAGGACTTGCATTTCGTATGAAACTGCATGAAGAATAGATTCTTAGGCCGATCTCACCAGAAGAGGACGGATGAATCCCGTTGTACTGCAGCCATTTGACTTGCGTCAACCTGAACGTCGTATAAAAGCCAAACGACTGAAGTACAATGGGATTCATCTGTCCACTTCTGGTGAGATCTACCTATGAATAACTTGTTCATGCACTTTTATACGAAATGAAATTCCACTGAGCAATATCATGTAGCTCATCAAATATATAAGGCCCTTAAAAGCGACGTTTTTAATAAGATTAAACCAGGTGTTCACTGATGTTTCTGGGCATCATGCCCTTTTGCAAGATATTAGGCAAGAATAAGAGAGTATATATTCAAAAGTTAACCAAAACAATTGGGCATAATAAGAACATTTCCGCAAACAGGTTATATTAACAAAAAAAAGTTGTTTGCAAGTAACTTGGCACTGAGATAATAGGTTCGCCCAAGAAACGCATGATTCAAG